ATTAGTAAGGGGATTATACCTACCTTTTCTCACATATAAATACACACACACACCACACACACACACACACACACACACACACACACAGCACTCATCTTAGAACTTCACATTGCAGGGGCACCTTGGCTGGCTCTGCCAGAGGAGTGTGTGGCTCTTGATCTCGGGGTTGTGAGTTCGAGCCCTATGTTGGGTGTAGATTACTTATATAAACTTAAAAAAAACCTTTTAAGTTAAAAAAATAAAAATTTTAAAAAAGAACTTCACATTGCATAAGGAGTCATTAACTTCTGACTGATTTGCATACAGAAGTTTCTTTTGATGATGAAGATCTTATAGGAAGAAGTTAAGTCCTTAAGACTTTGAAGACAAAGAGTATTGGGTTTGAGTAATAGATCTGCCATATGCAAGTTGAATGAGCAGGTTATTTAACTTCTCTTGTATTTATTTCCTCAAAAAGAAAGAGAAAGAGTAATAGTGTCTTCTCCTTAAAATCAGTTTGAGGATTAAAGGAGTTAACTCAATCAAAGAGCAAAGTATTGTCCTGGGGCCAAATCATGCTCTCAACTATGATGACGATGATGAAGATTATGATGTTGGCGATGAATATGATAACAAAGGTGTTGACAAATCATGAAAAGTTGATTATTTCTCATCATGCTGAAGTTAACAGCTGAGTACATCTCTGTAAAAATTAAAGAAATCATCTAAACAGTAGCCTAACACCTCTTGGTTTTCTGAGACTTTACAAAATCCAAAACGCATCCGCACATTAGTTCATTTGTGCTTCCAGTAACTCTGGGAGGCAGACAATTAGAGAAAATCGGTTCAGAGTGGTCAGGTGAAAATGTCAGTACTATCTCAGAGTTGAAAGAGGCCCGAGACAGGCTTCCTGTGCCCCACCTGGGGATCATTTTGTGGTTTCTTTTTTCTCCTTCTATATTGCTTCTGATGAGCATTGAGGCAAGCACGTCCCAGGTGTTGCTCCTGCACTACACATCAGAATGATCAGAGTCTTTAGTTCAGCAGCAAAGGCAATAATAACACTTATTTCTCCAAAAGACTTTTTCCTTCTGTTTAGCCTAAGAGCCCCAGCCAGAAATTCATAAGAAATTATGCCAGGCTAACAGAAATACTTAAAATATAGCTTTTCTTCTGAGGAGCTTGAAGTGCCTCATCACCAATTATATTTTCTTTTTTCCCCATTCGAATATTATAACTACCTACTGACAACTTTCTTGTGCATGTGTACCATGGGCTTCCTGAAGATGGGTTAGGAACGGTGTGACCCTGGCTTCTCTTGTACACAGAGTGTGTTATGAGTGTTTGTGGGACACTCATGAGTGTCAGGAAAGTTCTGGCTTCTCTGACCATTCGGATGAAATTCAATTCAATTCAACAAACACTTTTGGCCTCATTTTACCTGCCAGGCTGTCTGCCACGTGTAGATCCAGGAAGGGATTGCATAGTCTGGCCATCATGTCACTATTTCCTGTCCTAATCCCCAACTTCCTTTGGCTGGTGATGGTAACCACACAGCTGGCAGTCAGGATGAGGGAATGATTTGGAGATGCCTGAATCTTCCAGTCACACATGTGTACTTTGGCCATAGTTTAAAATAAACATGTTTTTGTACTCTCCCTGTCCCCTGGGTTATGTACTATTTTTCAAAATCCATTTAGAATAGCAAAAGCGGGTCACTTGTCTACACTGGGCTCTGATTTCTGCATCTTGGCTCTTAGCTCAGGTATGTGTTGAACTTGAAATGCATGAAGAAGGGGTCCAGACAGTCTCTCTGGTCTGAGTTCCCCTGTTCCTCCTCATCCCCTACTTTCAGTAGATACTCTTGTCTCTTGCTTTATGAAGATTCATATGTGTATCTTGAAGTCCCTACTTTATCTTTACTCATGATGTCACTGCCTCTACTGCTGTCTCTAACTGCCCCCTCTCCCATGACCCCATAATCTTAGTGAAATGGGTTTCTTTCCTCAGGAAAAGTAATATCTCCATCCATATCTCAGATGTCATTCTTCATATTTCCCTATCAGAGTCATCCTTCCCCCACCCCTCAAAATCTTTAAATACCTCGGGCCCTATACTCTCCTTTTTCTCAATCTCTGAGCACAGTCGGTTGAAGTCCCCTCTAAGGAGAAGTGTCCTTCAAGTCTTGAAATTCTCTTTCCTCGTCTGTTGTGACATTGTATCTTTCTGATCTTCTCCCATTTCTCTGATTATTTTTTTTTCTGTTCCCTCGATTATGGCTTGGGCTTGTCACTCGTTCCACACTATTCTCTCTCATTCATCCATCTATATATTCGTTCATTCAGGATTTATAGAGGATCTAATAATCTGCCTGTTACCAACCTGGGCATAAGAGTACAGGAGCACACAGAGCAAACAGGGCTGCTTTCATGAAGCTCACATCCTGATAGGAGGAAACAGAAAATAAGTAAATGCATTAAATTTCAAATAAAATCATTTTGGAGGGTAAGAGAGGATACAAAGGACAAGAAACAGGATAATGACCTAGGGAGTAGCTTCAAGTAGGGAGAAGTGGGCAGGAAACAAGTTTAGAAAGTGTGACCAGGAATGCCACTCATGGGAGAAGTCATCTGAGGCAAGACCATAATGATAAGAAACCAGACATAGGATGAAGAGTATTCTGGGAAGAGAGGACATCTGGTACAAAGACTCTATGATGGAGAAGAGTTTAATACTTTTGAGGTACATTAAAAAAAATTAAATGTAATGGAACATGTGGACAAGACAGGGAACTGTAGACTCGGGTGTGAAGAGATAGCCAGGGTTCAGGGCAGGTCTTGTTAGGCCATGGTGAGGAGTCTAGGTTTTATTAAGTGCAATGAAATGCCATTGAAAGTCTTTAACCAAGGAAGGTACATGACCTTATAAAATATAAAGAGTTCTCTGGTTACTGTTTGTAGGCCTCAAATGGATAGTTTCATCCATCAACTGTAAGGGGAAGATGATCATCAAATTGGAAAAGGGTAAGAAACACAGAAAAAAAAAAAAGATTGAAGCCAAAATGGCAGAAAGGAGGAAGGCATAGCTTAAACAATTAAAATGAGTTAAAAACTCTTGAAACAAGGCAGAATGTACTTCAGGGAACTTAAGGTACTTATGAAAGTGACTGAAAGCCACTGCCAAAAATCAAAGGAAATGTCAGAAAACTGAGAAGACCACATGCTCCTATTTTCAATAGAGGAAAGGCAGGGAAAATGTCATATTCCTACTAGAGGCAAAGACAGTGTTCCTAAAATCTAATGTAAAATCCTCAGAGTGACTAAAATGGGATTGGTAAGCATTTAAAAAAGAACATTGTGATTATTTCCTAATAGCACAAATGGATATAAGAAAAATGTAAAATTAAACCAATTCCCACTGTGTTAGTGGTGGTGGTTGTGGGGGTGGTGGTTGACAGATTTATTGGACTGAAGATATCTCAGTTGTTCTATGTATTTGGGTGAGGTTTTCGGTAAAATCATAGAATCTCAAAGGCTGTTGGAACTTTGTCAATAATTGATTCCAAACTTCCAGTCTATAGAAGTTTTTTTCCCCCTACAACATCTCAGTAATTCTTTGGATAACAACTGCTTGAACATAACAAAAGGTAATTCATTCCACTTCGGAATGGTTTGAAATATATTGCTAAAAATCTATTTCCATGGATAGATGAATAGGTCAAGCCTATTCATCAGAACTGTTCTTGTAGGATTCATGAATTGGAAAGGTTGAATTAAGTCAACTTTAACTTCTCTTACACGTATAATGGACTGTGCTTCAAGGGCTGGCCTTCAAAAACAAACTAGAGTTTATGGCCTGGTGGCTCCCTGCTCGGGAAGAAGGTCCTATCTTGGAGACCTTCTGTTGTTCTGTCATATGTAAGGAAAGAGAATTTCCTGCCTATGGTTCGTTTACAGTCAGCTGTTACTCTGCCGTTCCTTTTTGGAGTATCAGTGTCAAGTTTCCCCTTTTGGAAAGGGAACGGGAGGGACAAGAAGGGGGAGGGGCAGGTTTTTGTATTAATCTTTCATTTCGGCTCCAGGCATTCCTAATCTGTTATGTCAATTTGAGTTTATAACAAATCCGAGTTTGAATTTCAAGTTTCAGGTTTCCCTTTCAGAGATGGGGCGGGGGCGCTGAAACAGCTGCGAAGGGTAGGGAGTGGCTAATAGAAGAAGCCAAACCACAATCTGTCTGCTTTTAAACTAAAAGAAAAAAAAAAGAAAAAAAAAAAGAAAAGAAAAGAAAGAAAGAAAAGGGGAAAAAAGCGATTAGAGCAAGAGGGAGCTGCCCCCACCCGCAGTACCACTTTTGGGCTGACATTTGGATCGCCTCACTAGATGAGGAACAGGGAACAGGTGCGCCTCACTCGTACCCCACTTCTCCTAAGCAGGGATTATCTTGCTGCGTTTGGTGTGTCCGGAACTAATTAATCAAGGATAGACAAAGAATAGACTAGGAGAAGAGAAGGGGATGGGGTTGGGGGAAGAGAAGCTGCGAGCTTCTCGGGTACAGTGTACATTACAGATGACATCATTGCCTGAAAGAGATTTGGCCCTCCCTTTCCCGGAGCTGGAGGCTAGCTTGCCTGTGCTGGAGCAGGAGTGGGGTTGCCTGGAGGGTGTGAATTGCGGGGAGGAGGTGTGCCCACGCTGGGAGAGGTGTGGAGATGTGAAAGGGAGACCTGGAGACAGCCAGCGAGAACAGAAACAGCGGCGTCTGGAAGTGTTTGCGCAGCTTCAAGCTCCGCCCCCCGCTCGGCTGCTGTGCATGGCCCTGGGAGGGGCACGCCTGTTTGGGGGTGGGGTCTGTGGTGGCGGTGGGGGTGGACAGCCGCCTGCGCATCTCAAGGCTGACTGAACACACTCGGTCAAGGGGGACCTGGAGAAGGGCAGCTGGTCACCCGCCACCCAGGATCGGGGACCCGGCACTATCTGGGGGCGAGCTTCTGAGAAAGGGCCCACCCCCCCTGCCCCCTCCCCAGAGATCGGTGGCCGACAGGAGCTCCCGCCTCCTTCCCCGCCCCTCTGGACCTTCCCGCGGAGCAGAGGGCGGGTGTGGACGGGACCGAGGTGGAACGAATTTTGGAGCTCAGACCGGAGGCCTCGGTGGCTTTGGGCGCGGGGGGCACGCCCAGCTGGAGAAGCCGGTGCAGGCTGATGAAGCCGAAGCTCCCGGGTCTTGGTGGATCCTGGTTGGAGCGTAGCTGTTCCCAGGGGAGGTGAGAGGTGGATTAACATGGACCCCTTCGACAGCGCAGCCGCCTAGAACCAGCCGTGCTGCTCTCCTCCGAGCTGAGCTGCCACCTGGGCGCAAACCCGAGAAGCAGCTGAGCAACTGGAATTTGTGAAGTTCCGGGGTGGGCGGGGAAGGTACTGTCCGTGGTGCTGAGCCGGATCCCAGCAACGGGCTCCGGGGAGAGCGCGCGTAGCTGCTGATCGTCTCCCTCGAATTGGGGCGGTGCGCTGGGGTGGTTTGGAGCTGAAACCCCCGCCCGGCTCGATAACCCCTGAAAGCCTCCCCAGTCATCGGCGCTTGGCCCTCATTTCAATCAGAAAGTCGCCCCCTTGGGGCAGTTCGTCCCAAAGGGTTTCCTCGAAAGTATCGAAAGAGGGCAGTTCTTGACCGAGGGAATCTCTCTGTTTAGTCCCGAAGCCAGCCGCCGGAGAAAAGATGCCTGCCTTCAACAGATTGTTTCCCCTGGCTTCCCTCGTGCTCATCTTCTGGGGTAAGTACCAGCACCCCGCCATGAGAGATGCAGATAACAGTAATAATGCCAACAATAATAACACTTATTGATGTTTGTAACAAAAGGAGCCTTGGTTGGCTTCTCTCTATGCATGTCTGCCAGACATGGAGATTCATAGGGGTTCCATGAGAGCTGGGATTTTGAGATTGGAAAAATACCTCCTCACTCCCCTGCTGTTATATTCCAGAACCACCCTTAGTGGGTTTTCCACCCCTCCTTTTGTTACCTGTTAATTCCAAAGTATTTTTTCCCTTTTTCCTTTGCTGAAAGGAAATGAAGTCACATTCATTATGAAAAATCTCAGTTGCATTTACATTTCATTTTTCAATTAAAAATCTTTGGGTCTTCAAATTAATTCCCATGTATTTTTTTAAAAAGCTAAATGCATGCATTTTGAGAATGAAAAGACTTTATTGAGCCATTTGTGTAATTTTAATAGGGAAAATGGGCTTCAGTCATTTGCAACTATGTCTTTGATAAACAGACACCTGGACATTGCATCTTTATTCTTTTTCATGAACATGTGAGGCTAAGGTGCTTTGGTGTTTGGGGAGCTGTGTGTTTTGCTTTCAAAAATAAATAGGTTCTTGTTTGCTGTGAGGATATAAGGTGACCTTCTCCCTCCAAATAAAGAAGACCTTCACTTGCAACACTAAGGCTAAGCAGAGTGGTGTCAGAGTGGGGTACCTGCATGTGTGTAGAAGAGTTAATGAGTCTACGTGATAACGTCTGTATATGTGATTGAGAGAATGCCTTACTGTGTCGATGCATATGCCTCAGTGTTTGAATGTGTGTGTTAGTATATGTCTGAGCATGTTAGTTAGAATGGATTGGTGAAGACGTGTGTGTGTGTGTGCGTGTGCGCGTGCATGCACACATGAGTGTGTGGTTGTATAGTTCTAGGCATCTCTCTCTTGGTGACTGATTAGATCCTCAGGTAAAATACAGGTGCTCTTCAGTTGATATATTGCTTCACATGATCTTTTACATTTCTATTTTTTAAATGCTTTTATCTTCCTCTGTGCTAAAAGTCAATAACCAGGATAATTGTGCCCACTTGCTTTATTGAAACTAGGCATGTGGGATTAATTCTCCCACGGCTGGCCTGAAACTCATTCTGCCTGTGCAGTGGCAAATATGCTGATGGGAATTGCCTCTGCCTTAGTATCACTTTATTAAGCCTCCAGGACTTACTGGCTGCCAGCATTATCTGGATTTTGCATGTGACCAAAAGCAGAGCCAAGCTTCCTGTTGAACAAAATGCCTGATGAGACAGTCTGGGAAGGACAAAGAGGGAGAGTAACGCCAGTCCCAAGGGCAGACTCACCACCATCCATCCCCTGTAGAGTAGACTAGACCTGAAGATGAAGCAGACAGAATGGGTTGCCAATGACCTCACCTGCCTTGACGATTTAAGGCTGGGATTTCCTCAGGGGAGGCTAAGACTAGAGACATGAGCCTTAGGAGAGGTTAGTCTGGCTGGATAAGAAAGAGTATGGGTAAAGCAGCAGAAGATAAAGTTGCAGAGAAGGACAGGGGTGATATTCTACAGAGCTCTTCTTCCCAAACCTTAATTTAAAGTTTTAGCATCTCTGCCTGAATTCCAGTGGAAGGGATGAACATACCATATCCTAAGCCCTTTTTAGGACTTATAAAGCCTGGTTTGGAGTCTTAGTCTGATATTAGCTTGCTATGTAACAACCTTAGAGTATCTAGTTCTTCATACGTAAAGTTCGGAAGTCGGGGCTGATAATATCTAAGACTGAAAAGTAAGGAAATATTTACAAAATATTGCTAAACTTGGTACATCCACCCCTCTCCTCACCTCTACTTCCCACCCCACCCCCAAAATAAAACCTTTGGAAGAAGTGTGCACATCACACCCATCATTGCTCATTCTCAGCTTCTTTATGATCTGAACATTGGTTCACAAAGATTAAAAGCTGCAGTAGGAAAAGGGATGGTTCAGGAAATCTGGTCATCAAATGTAAGAGAAAGGCCTCATTTCACAAATGCGATTTCATTTTATTTGAATGTAATTCTTGTACTGGAAACCATTTTGACTAGGTATGTTCTCCCTTCCTAAGTTGCTTTTTCACATGACGCAAATATTAATGGAAAGAATATTTGCTATTATATTATTTTCTGCATATATTGAAAAAGTTCCCTTATTTCCTTTAATGAAGTATATAATAATAATTTTAAAAACTTTGCACTTGCCTCTTGCTGTGGTTTGCAGAGCACTTTTCAATCTGTTACTTCTTTTTGGTCACCATATCAGTCCTTGGGGATAGCCAGGCGAAGTAGCATTACTTCCAGTTTAGATGTGAGAAAATGAGCTCAGGGATAGGGAAGGACTTGCTTAGGAGCTCTTGTCTCTTGATTTCAGTCTTCTAGTGCTTGTTCTAGCACCTCTAATGAATACATGTGCTGCTATGCAGGATTGCCGGATGGGCATCTGTCCTCACATACCTCTTGGGAGCCACCACCCCTCCACCCCTTCAGCCATGCCTTTCCTATGCCCTCACCATCCAGATCCCTGTATCTTCTCTGCTCTTCCTCTCCAGGTCTCCTCTCCCACGTGTCTGCCCTGTTGGGGAATGTTTTCCTGTCTTCCCCCAGCACCTCATCTTGCACCCATTCTTGAAAGGCTCTGCTAAGTCACTGGTTAATCTGATAGACAAATCATTTCAGGGTGTTAATATCTACAGATAATTTCATTTATTACCCATTTTTGGAAATATTTACACTGCTTTATTATCTTAGCACAAAGAAATGCATTCTAGAGCAAGCTCAGGAGGGGCAATCTAGTATTATCCAAAGAATAAAAAGATTTGAGGGTATTAGAGGAGTTGACTCTCCACCTCATGATAGATTGATACTATTATTTATTTAATGTAATCATTAGGAATATTTCTACCTATTCTACCATCTCATAAGTTTCCTCATTATTACTATAGAAATTGAAGGAGAGACCAGAGGTCAAATGATTTGGCCAAGATTATTCCAGGAGTTTATCATTTACAGTCAGCAATGTGGATTGAATATCTACCATACGTACAACCTTTTCTTGGGTATCTAGAGGATTTCACAGAGAGGCAGTGGTGTACTACAGACTCATGGGGTGGAGGAACAGATTTCACTTCTTGATGGAAGAAGCAGCAGGTCATATGGCAAAGGGCAAGGAAAGAGGGATGAGAGAATTTTGTGGCCATTTTGCAATGTACTATCCAGGACTTCATGAACAGAATTCTTATGCCTTGAAACTGGACTTCGGCCATGAGAAGGGAATCAGTAGTGCCTGTTCCCTGATGATATACCAGATTACTGTCATCTCAGGAAAAAAAGGCTGCCGTGTTCTCCACAGTTATCCCCCTGACTGCATATATTCTGTGCTCTCTCCTTTAACTATAAATGAATTAACTGTACTCCTATTTAAGACCCATTCATTGCCTGTCACGTATTCAATGGATGTTGGTCCCACAAATTATTCTTTTTCAACCCCAATAGCTCTGCTACCACCTTCATACAAGCCAAACCATTGGGCCATCTCTCAGTCTGATCAGTGTACCAGCCTCTTGACTCTTCTCTTTGCTCCCACATTGTCCTCTGTCACCTCTTCCATTTATTCTCAACATAGATCATGTAATTTTGTATAAATCATGTCATTCTTCCACTCAGAACATTCCAGTGTTCCCCATGTACACATTTCATCAAGTTTATTGATTAACCATTTTTCTTATACTGGTTATAATCAGTATTTGATTCTGAGAGGGAAGTATTCATTATTGATATACTGTATGGACTTTTTAAATTCCATCCTTTACAAATGATCAAGATTGGAGCTGTCAAAACTATATTTTTATCATGGAAAAAATTTCAGCTCCCCAAGTCATAATGCTGAACAGAATTGGAATATTTTCTTTAGAATTACTTGAAAAGGCAAATGAAAGCTTATTATAGGATGCTTTATTTTCTTTTCTCTCTCTAGAACCAGAATATTGCTGGCAGCTATTGTATTAAAAAATTAAAGTATATTTTCACTGCTAAAAAAAAAATCAAAAGTCAAAGTTCTAATCAAGACCAGCCGTGATCTGACCTGGCTTATGTCTCCTTTCTCATTTTGTTCCCTGTGTTTTATTGTGCTCTGCTTTCGACAGACACTCCCACCCTAGGACCCTTGAAATGCTATTTCCTCTGTTTGCACACTTGCATACAGATATTCATATATCTCCTTTCTTTCTCTCATTTCTTTCCTTCAGTGCCTGCTCAGTGTCACCATCTCAGTGAGGCTGTCTCCAATGTTCCTATGCACCTCTCCTCTGTTTTACTTTTTCTCATTAGTACTTACTACAATGTCATGTTTCTTATTTTTCTCTCCCTCCCCTGAAATGTAGGCTTCATGGGGGCAGGGATGGTTTCTGTCTTGTTCCCTGTTGCGTTTGTCAGTGCCTAGAACAGTGTCTGGCACACAATAAGTACACACTGTATTTGTTGAATAAATGAACAAATAAATGAAGGATAAAATACATTAGCAGGTGATACGTCCAAAGCACATTCATATAAATCATTCCACAGAATTCCCATGATGACGCTGTTAGATAGATGTTATTTTCAGCCTTCTGTTGATGAATAAACTGAGTCTCAGAGGTTAAAGAGTAGATAATCCCAGGCCTTCAGTAGCTAAATACATCTTCTTTCTGCCTCTGTGTTCGTAACTGTGCATTCCTTGATACAGTTTCCTATGCTGCTTCTGAAGTCATCATCACGGAGCTAACTTATCTTTGCCATGTCTCATTAAATATGAATGTGCCTCAAGGCTGCCTGTGACACAAGAGTGCTCAATGCACATTCTCTGCACCCGTACTCATTCCCAAACTTTTGCACAGACCACACCTTCTTTTCTCCTTTTTTTTCAACCAGGCTTACAATCAAGACTTCAAACACATCACATCTTGAAAGTGTTTCTGATCAGTTCTCTCTAGATACAGGTCCTCTCTCCATTTAAAGTGATGGTCCACATGTAGAAGCAGGAGACCCTCTTGCAGACTGCCTCATAAGAGCAGCCCCAGCTAGCTTGAGAGTTTTAAAACCAATTGACTTTATTTTCCCTTGATGTTTTAAACTTCATCATAGTGCTACTTATGTTTGTTAATTTTTTTTAATGTTTATTTAGTTTTGAGAGAGAGAGAGAGAGAGACAGAGCGTGAGCAGGGAAGGGGCAGAGAGAGAGGAAGACACAGAATGTGAAGCAGGCTCCAGGCTCTGAGCTGTCAGCAAAAAGCCTGATGTGGGGCTTGAACCCATGAACTGTGAGATCATGACCTGAGCCAAAGTCAGACACTTAATTGATTGAGCCACCCAGGTGACCCAGTATATTAGCAATGTGTATTGCTTCATTTTATAGGGGTTCTGCTTTTATTATTAATTTATGGGGAGGTAGCACTAGAAGGGGTCTTAGAAGTCCTGATATCAGATCATCCCATTTTTGAATCTTCCATACAATGAGGTATAAAATCTTACCAAATAGGGTTTTTTTTGCATTTGTTTAGAGCTTCCTTTTACAGAAAATTCCTTTTTTTTTTTTTTTTTAATGAGCCAAACTTACTTCTTACAATTTTTGGAATTGGAAAGAATCTAATTTCTCTTCCACAGGCCAGCCTCCAAATATTTGAAGGCAGATAAGTTCTGTGTCCAAGCCATGCACCCCCAACTCTCCCATCTGTTTTCCCCCCAGACCTTGTCTCCAGGCGCTTCTCCATCTTGCTCCCCGCTGGGCATGCACTCACTGAACAACTTTCTGTTGTCAAATGTGACAGCCTGAACTGATCAGAATGGTCCAGATTGGTTCTGCATGGTGCAGAGGCACTGTCTCGCCCTCATTCTGCACATGGTACATCTGTTAATGCGGCCCACATTTGCATTCATTTTACTGGCAACCTCATCCCACTGTTGACTCATTCTTAACATGCAATCTCATGTACACACCCTATTTTCTGGGCCCCAAGTTTCTAGAGGGCAGAGACTGTAAGTCCAGATCTCCGTGTGGCAGGCAAGTTATCCCCCCACTCTGACCTCTCTCCAGATTTTTTAACTTTGTCTCTCTCTACATCTCTGCACGAAGCATTGCTCCAGCCCAGTGGTCAGCTCACTGTCTTCCTCACTGCTGCTCCATCCTCCACCACGTATCAGAATTACCTACTTTCTAAAATAAAATTCAGATCCAATTATATCTCTCCATGGCCTGCAAACATCTGACCCCGCATGTTGTGAAGGCCACACAAAGGTTGTCACAACGTGGTCCTCGTTCCCTTTCTAGACCCCTGCTTCATCTTCCTTCTCTTCCTCTCTCCCCAGCCCGACCAGGAATAATTGGCTCTCTTCTGGGAACAGACCACGTCACCAGCATGGCACTCACCACAATCCCATTTAATGATACTTAGAAGTATGTGTTCCCTGCTAGATTATAAATCCATTCAGGGTGTGGTTAGTGTTTTGTTCATCTTTGTGTCTCAGCCTAGCATTGGGCCTGGCACAGAGTAGATTTCAGTGAATGGTGGTTGAATGAAGGGTGCATGGATGGGTGGGTATGTGTGCACCCTATTTCCCACCTAGACTCTCAGTCTTTGAGGACAGGGCTCAGGTCTGCACCCCAGGAGGCTTTTAGTCAACTCACAGTTATCCATGGCTCCCAAAGCCCACTCCCTGCCTGTTCTGAGCGTGCACCCTTGGGGACCACAGGTGAAGATATACATGCAGGTACATGCAATCCTCAGGTTTGTCTCATGATTCTTCCTTCTCTTCTCCCTCCCTCTTGTTCTCCAACACCACTCTCCTGGTGCCCTCCTCCCCAACACCTCCTGTTCCTTCCCTGTCCCCGGGCCTCTCTCCAGTTAGTGTCTGCTTCCCTGTGTGTGTGGAAGTGCCCTCGGAGACGGAGGCCGTTCAGGGCAACCCCATGAAGCTCCGCTGCATCTCCTGCATGAAGAGAGAGGAGGTGGAGGCCACCACGGTGGTGGAATGGTTCTACAGGCCTGAGGGCGGTAAAGATTTTCTTGTATGTCTGGCTGATGACTCTGGCCTTTCTTTTGCTTGCCTCTGCTCTTATGTGCCTGGCTCCTGAGAGTCTGGGGAGTGAGAATCTCACAAATATTGGCTCTTTCTTTTCAAAGTGTTGACAGCTCCCCAGCAGATAACTGACAGCCTGAGTGTAGCCCAGCCTCTGTGACAGAAAGGGCACTTGGTCAGCCATGGGCATTCCTGGTTACCAGTGGGGGAAGGGGGAAAAGAGATAAATAGCATGTAGAACCTCCTGTGTGCTAGCCACCCCATAAGGCACTTTGCAGGTGTTTTCATTGACTCTTCTGCACCGTCATGTTGGATGGATTAAATTAGTAGATAGATGGAAATAACACTCAGCATCATTATACGGGACAGCATAGGTTAGCTCATTTAAATCTCACAATCCCAGTGAAATAAGAATGATGGGGATGGCCAAGGCTGATAGTCAACTGGTATACCCCACAGCCGCATCTGTGAGTGAACTATTTAAATAGTTCTATAATGGATACTTGCTGTGCCTCCCAAGTGGCCTCATCACCATCGGTTCCACTAGGAGCCTCCAGACCTCCTTATGAAGCTAAGGGATCATCTGACAGAGCAGGGAGCCTCCAAGACTGTGCTCTGTGCGGTGGCTAATATTAGTTCTGATTGGTTGGTGCCACTGCCAATAACGTTATATGCTTTGAATATCACCTTGGGGATGACTATTATTCACACTTTCATGGACTCTGGAACCCACGCTGTCTGGGTTTGATTCTCGACTCCACAACTTTTTAGTTTTATGCCCTAGGACAACTTGCTTCACCTCTCTGTGCCTCCATTTCCTCATCTCTAAAATGAGGATGTAAACGATAGCTACCTCAAAGAATGGTTACCTTCAAAGTTGTTAGCTTTAATTTTTAATGCATTTACCATAGCCCTGGAAAACAGGAAGCATGATACAAGTGTTTGCTAGAGAGAAGGTATACGTACATGAGTGAGGAAACGAGGCCCGAAGAAGTTAATAAGAGACCTTAGATTCGAACCAGCTTGTCTGACAGCAGATACAAAACCCTTTTTACTGTGCTATCTCACCTTCTTGAAGGCAAGTTTCTTTTGTGCAAACACTTAATGGAGATGATAGCAAGGTGAAATTGTGTGCTCCAATCAAGTGTTTGTTCCAGAACTGGAACCAGTAAATTTCCCTGAAACCTTGGGGTTCACTCAGAGTTGACTGTGACTGAGGCTGGTCCCCAGGGTACAGGAATCTAGGCCAGATGTGAAGGCTCCCATTGGCCTCAGGCCTGGTGGTGTGCCAGCCACTTACTCTACTTCCATGTCTGCCCAGAACGAGTAGAAGTTGACTCAGAAGGAGGAAAAGGGGGCCACCTGGGTGGCTCAATTGGTTAAGTGTCCAACTTTGGCTCAGGTCATGATCTCACAGTTTGTGGGTTTGAGCCTCATGTTGGGCTCTGTGCTGACAGCTCAGAGCCTGGAGCCTGCTTCAGATTCTGTGTCTCCCTCTCTCTCTGCCTCTTTCCTGCTCACAATTTCTCTGCTCTCAAAAATAAATAAACATTAAAAAAATTGTTTTAATTTAAAAAAAAGAAAAAAGAAAAAAGAAGGAGGAAAAGAAACTTTAAAAATTGTAGTGGACATACAAAGCAGTGCTGTCTACTAGAAATTTTTGTGAAAATGGAAATGTTCCATATATGTGCTGTCCAGTACAGTAGCCACTAGCCACATGTGGCCACTGAACACTTGAAATGTGGCGAGTGCAACTGGGAGAGTAAATTTTACATTTTATTTCATTTCTAGTCATTTAATTTTTAATGGAAGTAGCCACATGTGGCAAGTGGAGACCAGAATGGACAGCACAGCTATACAGAATAAAAAGGTGTGTCAGAAGGTGGAAGTACTTGAGAAAAGAAATTTCAAGACCACATTTCAGTTCTAATTCAGCCCAAAGTGAAAGACCTGAAGTGTGCATCTCGTTTGGCAGCTCTCTGCTCATTGGTGACACTTTTGTGTCCTGGGTCCCTTTCCTGTGGCCTGGCCCAGACTGACCACATCCCCTCAGTGGCAACCAGATCAGAGAGTCCAGTTTTGAGGCGAAGGCTTTCTGATGTCTTCATGACTCGTGAGGTGGCCTCTCTTGGTCTCTATGCTCTGTTCTCCCACTGGCTGCCCCTGTGACACTACTTACTCTCTCTCTTGCTCTCTCTGTCTCCTTCCAATTCTTTCTTTCAGTTTCCCCCTCCTGGTCTCCTATAGGCTTTACTCACCTTCTTTGTTCTTGTTCTCTGCACCTCTTTTTCCTGCCAGCCTTCTTCTTGTCTACCTGCCTGCATCTTCCTGTGCTGTGTCCATGTGCCCTGATAACCTGTTTACCTTTGCTCATCTTTTGCTGCCTTTCTCTCTCTTCCCTGCCCTCCGCTGAGCCTCCTCATCACACTCGCAAACTCAGGATCTCCTTGTAGCCTTGTCCCCTCCCTTCCCTGTCCATGCATGACCGCTCCTTTTCTCTGTCCTGTCCCCATCCTGGCCCTCCTACCCTGTTTTCTCTCCCGGCCCTACCTCTTCTGCTTCTCTACCTGCAGATCTACGAGTATCGAAATGGCCAGCAGGAGGTGGAGAGTCCCTTCCAGGGGCGCCTGCAGTGGAATGGGAGCAAGGACTTGCAGGATGTGTCCATCACTGTGCTCAACGTCACCCTGAATGACTCCGGCCTCTACACCTGCAACGTGTCCCGGGAGTTTGCCTTTGAGGCACATCGCCCTTTTGTGAAGACTACGCGGCTGATCCCCCTCCGTGTCACCGAGGAGGGTGAGGCTGGGGCGCAGGGTCGGGAGGACAGTGGGTCTCCACACAAATGAGGCCTTTGCAGAGTGCAAAGCAAAGCCTGTGTATAGGGAGGGGTGACATCTAAAAATGTCACCATTGACTTAACTTCTTTTAGTGGCCAGCTTCCTGCAAACTGCTGGAAAGCTTGCCTGTCAGCGCCTTTCCTCAAAGCAGAAAGGCTCAGAAAGGCAGTAGAAATACCTGTTCCTTGATCCCCTGACTCTCAGCCTTAGAGAAAGAAGTCAGCCTCCATGAAGCCGAAGGCTGCCAACTCAGCTACCTTCTTCTCCAGCCTGTGTTGAACCCCTGACTCAATGGGCACAAGGAAAGCTCATGAGGTTATCTAGAGGTCCCCTGACCCTCTTGTCATGGAAGCCATACCTCCTCTGAAGAGCGGTCCTCAAACATCAGCAAGCCTCAAAACCCCCTGCAGGGCCTAAAATGCAGACTTTCTGCTTCTGTGGATAGAGCCTAAGTGTTTGCATGTCGAACAAATTGCCAGGAGATGCCCATGCTGCCTGGGACCACACTTTGAGAACCACTGCTCTAAACCAAAGTCTTCTGTCTTCCCCAAAATAATCACACAACCCACCTCTTCCCCATCCCCTAGCATCTATCAGTACAAAATCTCATTCTCAAGTGGAAGAAAAAAACCTTTCTAGTCTTAGTTTAAAATCTTCAGATTTCCCACAGTCAGTCTCTTATTAGGGTGGGGGTGGGGGTATCCTTCCATCAACCCAGTTCAAATGTTTCTGTTTTAATCCAGTCCAGAATCTTGAGGGTGAAGGTAGAGTGTGCTCACACATCTGGTTTCAAGGGACTCAGAGAACTGTGGTTCCCAGCCCCTTGCAAACACTCCCTTGTGTTGTCAAGAGACCAATATGTGCATGTCCTTTTGTGTCTTTCCATCCAGGCTAAGGGATGGTGCCATTTTCCTTGGACTGTTCTTAGGCAATCTATTCCCAGCATACTCTTACCATTTTCACTGCCCCAAGAGGCAGAATGGTGAGCAAGTAAAAGGTGCGGGGCATGAAAGAAGAGGTCGAATTCAAGACAGCGTTCTTCCTAGTATTCCCGAGAATACTGACTTCCAAGCCACACATTTCCTTATTTTTTTCTCTCATGTTATTGTGATATAATTCATGAAGCAAACCTGAGAGTGAACGGCAGGGCAAGAGGGGTCATGATTTTGTCCTGATGTGGACAACATGACTAAAACAAAAGGTAGGTCAATTCTGAACGTGCAGAAGCACTCTCAGACCACTGGCATTTAGACCTGATAGGCCATTCTCTCTCTCTTGTGTACAACGCGTCACCTCTTGTGTACAACGCGTGGGTTGGACTGGAAGCTCTCTAAGGTATTTTTCTGTTCCCAAGTTCCATTATCCTCTCTGTTTACACACCTCTTCCCCCCGGGGAAAAGAGGCTGGCGCCCTCTACTGGTCACTGCCGGAACTGTTGGCTTGGTGACGCTGACACTAGGAAGATGTGGGTCTCCACCCCCCTGCTCTCTCAGGCTTTTGCCTCCAGAGACTCTGGCGCAGCCAGTGGAAAGTGTGGCAAAACTGAACCTGTCTGCCTGCTGGGCACCAGAGCAAGACTTGGGTAAGAATAGAAGGAAAATGAGTTTGTTATCAGAATCACAGAGCCTCTTGGGATGTTAGGGCTGGAAGGAAGCTTGGCTCTCATTTCTTGCAGAGGTTCTGAACAAAGAGCAGGCATCAGAATTGCCCAGGGGGCTTTCCTTGCATGTAGCCAGCTCCCTACCACTCTTATGGGTATGAGCTCTGTAGCTTGGGGTGAGGTCTGGCATGTGTAAGTAGAAATTACTCCCCAGGTGATTGATTGGAGGGTGCAGCTCCGATGCCCCTCATTCTGTGGTTGGGAGATCAGTGAGGGGCTTGCTGAGGGATATGAAGCAAATTAGCACCAGACACAGGACTACAGGCCTCATCTTTTGCTTACCAGGCTAGCTCTATTTCCAGTGCATCTTTCTCTTCTACCACCACCCCTCTTTCTGCTACTCTTTCTTTTCATATCTTTTCTTTTCTTCTTTCCCTCCCTTCTTTTCCCTTCCTTCCTTTTTTTCCCCTTTCTTTCTCTTTTCCTCTGTGAGCCTCTGAGAACCCCCCTCCTGCCAAGATACTCACTGCTTCCATAAGGCTCAGAGCTACATGCTCCACCACGATACACCACATCACATCTCCTCCAGTCCTGTGGTCCTGAAAAATCTCCCTGGTTCTTTGTTCAAGCTGAACTTACCCTGTCCTAAGCTCTGACCTCTGGGCTCTAAGAAAAAACTCTGAGATCTCTTCCCCCAGAAGTGACTAAAAATACGAGCATGGATAGCTTCCTGTGTTCCTACTTCTGGGCTATTGCATTTAAAAAGAGCATGCTTTAGGGGCGCCTGGGTGGCTTAGTCGGTTAGGCATCCGACTTTCGCTTGGGTCATGATCTCGCGGTTCGTGGGTTCGAGCCCCGCGTCGGGCTCTGTGCTGACTGCCAGCTCAGAGCCTGGAGCCTGTTTCATTCTGTGACTCCCTCTCTCTCTAATCCTCCCCTGCTCATGCTGTCTCTCTCTCTCTCTTAGAAATAAATAAAAAACATTTAAAAAAAAAAAAAGAGCATGCTTTAAGCCAAGTACATAAAAAATCAGGTATTACCAAGCCCACAAAAAGATATTTTATGTGTATGGTGTTCTTCTGTGCCACTAGCCAGATTTATGAGCTCCAGCTCCATCCAGTTAGGAAATCGGGACTGCTTCTCTGAGCTGAAGGTCATGGCTGTAGCAATGCTGTACTTTTCATGAGCGAGGCCTTATGGATGACTGGGGCCTATGAATAACCAAGGGCCATGAATCTAATTTGCTGGAGGAGTTAGCAACAGGAGATGTAGCTACAAACTTCTTTTCCACTAGAAAGGATTATATGTATCAGGGCCTTTGCCATACATTATCTTTCAATTGTCATTCTGGTTGGCTGTGAAACAAAGATCAGTATTTATTTATATGCATTCTGCAAATACTTATTGAGTACTGCAAATATTCCAGGATTAGACAACAGGCTGATAATTCAGAAATAAGTGAAATATGTTCTTAATAAGCACACCGTCAGTAGAGAAGAGAGAGAAACACACCACAGCACAAACCGAGAGGTGTTAACAATGGACGGATGAGAAAAGTGCAGAGGAGGACATGAATAGCTCTGCATTAGAGGCAGAGGAAGGTTCCACAGAGGAGCGGACTTTGGTGGAGTCCAGAAGAATGATTGGGAGACTGAGAAGCAGGAGAAGATATTGGGAGAGAGGTAGCTGAGGGGTGTGCAATACAATTGAGGAAGAGGAAAGGGGATGAAAATGTCTACAGATCCCAAAAGACCACAGTGTATATGAGAAGTGAAGTTTTGCTGGCCTACTGAATGGAAATGAGGAGAAAAGGGTTGGATTGTGCATCTTGCTTGTCATGTCCATGATTTGGTCTTTATCCTGAGGGGAGGATGCACCATGGGAAGATTTAAAGCGTGAAAAAGGCAGGATCAGATTTGTGTTTCAGAAAGCCTGGTTAATACATGGAATGCTCCAATACTCATTTCTGTTTGGGTTTGGGATGGTCTGGAAGGAAGATGAAATGGAAAGAACCCTGTTTCCAGTCCAGACTTGTAGAGGCCACACCCACATCACTGGGTGGGCTGACTGCACTGGCCCCTTACAATGTTTTCCATGCTTTCTCCCTCTGCCACTCTATGCTCAGTGGTTGAACCAGACCTGTCCCTCACACCTGTGTAAAGAATATCACAAGATATTCTTTAATACACTAGGTAAGGGTGTGAACTGTCACCCTTACTGTACAAGTTAAGAAAGTAAGTTTCAAATAAGGGACATGACTATCCACACAAAACTGGGACCCAGGTCTTCCATCTCCTTCCATTCCAGGATTCCTTCCACGGCTCTATTTTCTTTCCACTCTTCATTCTTTCTCATCCCTGCCCCCACCCCTGCTTCTGCTCCCAAAAAAAGTCAGTGAGGAAGCTGACAGACAGGAGAGTCAGAGGATATTAAATCTCTTTGACACCTTCTCAAGTTCCGTAGAGCCAAGGCTAATTTAAGCCCTACATAAAAAAAAAAAAAAAAAAAAGTCTCATATGTCTCTAACCCAATGACAGTTCTGGGTATGTTGGACATGCACATTCTAAACCTCACTGTCCCCCTTGCAGCTGGAGAGGACTTCACCTCTGTGGTCTCTGAGATCATGATGTACATCCTTCTGGTCTTCCTCACATTGTGGCTGCTCATTGAGATGATATATTGCTACAGGAAGGTCTCGAAGGCTGAAGAGGCAGCTCAAGAAAACGCGTAAGTGCCAAGATGCCAAAGTGATGCTATTGAGCACCTTCAAAGTGTTTGCTCTCACGGATCAGGTGCTAAGCAATTGACACCCTCCTCCACTTGCCTCACAACAACCTTTGAGGTAGGCAGCATTCATATACTCATTTAATGGATGAGAAAACTGAACCTGGGAGAGTGTGCCCGGGACCATTATAAGAGGCAAAGCAAGGTCTGGATTCATGCCTGCTAACTCTTCCCCTGTTCTCTTAACCACTGATGTAAAGCCCATAGCTCCCATCACAATCCCATGAAATTAGCATTATTGTGACCATTTCATGAAGCAGGCTTATGGAGGTTGTGTGGCTTGCTGAGGCCATGCGGATGATGAAAGGAGAGGCTGGGATGTAGGCCCCTCTACTCTGAAGGCCCATGCTCTTTCTGTCGCACTCAGCTGTTCGTTGTACACTGTGGAGCTCATCAGGCCAGCTGGGCCTTGCCTTATATCAGCCAAGGAGCTCAGAGCCACACGTTCTTGCTCCCGGAGCCTGGCAGCAATGGAATGCATGGAGTAGAGGCTCTCATCCTCCAATGGCCAGACTGCACCTTGGCCATTTTCACCAAGGCCCTAGTCACTCAGGAGTGAGCACATCTGAGAAAAAGATGGGGTCTGAGGGCCTAGGAGGCCCCTCTGGCCTGTTACTTGGGGAGAAGAAAGAACAGAACTCACAGATGTACAAGGCTGGCAACACTGCTGAGGGGACAACCTAAAAACTGTAGGCTATTATCACCCAAAAATGTTTGATAAAGAAAGTATTTTGCACGATATCTATGACCCCAGGCAAGTAAAACCTACAACTGATACAAAGATAGAAAGTATTGATATATGAGAGGAACTTGTCATTCCTGGCAGAACCTAGGGTGCTTGGGTTTTAGTGCTTGGACAGGAAGTGCCCACACTTGGACAGGAAGCATCTACAACGGGGTCTGCACAGAAAACAGGGTCGGAATGAGGCCCCCAGAAGAGCCAGGATCTTCAAAGAGCTACACCACATGCAAAGGACAGATCAGAAAATCAGTCCACCAGCCCAGAGAAAAGCCAAGGAAACAACATCCATCTTGGCCTGACTCCCAAATAGAAACCTAAAAGATTCTTGAGAATTAGTAGCTGCAAGGCCACTCTCACAATGTTTGGGATTTAAATTTATACTACCTACGTGATCCAGGAAGCTTCAAGCTGAGAAACTCAATTAAAAAATTAATCCCCAGACAGCGATCGCCACGTAGAAGCAAATGAAACACCATTCTGAAGAGACCCACCCCTCAGCTGAGGCTTAACAGGATTCCTTGTATAAAGCATTGCTGAATCTGATTTTACAATCTGATCCAAATACACAACAGCAAACAATCCAGCATGGACAAGAGAAGTAACAAATGGCAAGATTACATCCCAGGAACTTCAGACACAAGAAGGGCCTGGTAGAAGTTAGAAAATAAGTCTATTTCAAAGAGTGAAAGCAAGGGGCTCCTAGGTGGCTCAGTGGGTTAAGTGTCCGACTTCCGCTCAAGTCATGATCTCCTGGTCTGTGAGTCTGAGCTCTGTCGGGCTCTATGCTGACAGCTCAGAGCCTGAAGCCTGCTTTGGATTCTGTCTCCCTCTCTCTCCACCCTCCCCCACTTGCATACACACTCTCTCTCTCTCTCTCTCAAAAATAAATAAACAGTAAAGAAAATTTTTTTAAAGAGTGAAAACAATAAAAGGAAGAACTGAAAGCCCAGGAATAGAATAAATTGTGAAGAAAAATGAACAGGCAGATTTCAAATAGGAATCTTAAAAATCTGGAAATGAAAAATATAGTCAATAAATTTTAAAACTTGATGGACTGGTTTACCAGAACAGTAGATAATGGACAAGCTGGAAATAAATGTAAGGATGTTATACAGAATGAAGCACAGAGATATAAAAAGCTGGAATATCACAGTGAAACATGAAGAAAGAAAATGAGAGTATCATTAGAACAGAGAAAATGTAAGAGAAACAATATTCAGAGAGACGATGGCTAAAAAGGGCATGACTCCTCAGATTCAGAAAGCATGACATGTCCTGAGCAGGATAAATATTAAATCTAAACACTAATCAGGGCACCTGGTTGGCTGTGTCAGTTAAGCGTCTGACTTCAGCTCAGGTCATGATCTCACAGTTTGTGAGATCGAGCCTGAATCAGGTTGTCAGCACAGAGCCTGGAACATGCTTTGGATAATGTGTGTCCCTCTCTCTCTGTCCCTCCCCCACTCATGCTCTCTCTCTCAAAAATAAATATTAAAAAAAAAAATCAAACACCAATCATCTTTACACTGATAAATGGCAGCCACTAAGATAACCTCCAGCAAACACCATCTGTGTTATAATACTGGACACGTCTCCCTGCTTTTATTCAATATTATATTGCAGTTTGTGAGTAGTGTACTAAGTAAATATAAAGGGGGTAAAAGAGTAAAAATTGAAACGGAAGAAACTAAAGAATTCTGATTCACACCCAATGTCATTATCTACTGTTGGCTTGAAATCTCTCATGGAGCTTCCCGGTGTCACCTGAAATCTGCCCCCACTCACGAAGGGCAGGGAGAGACTAAAGTAAGCCGCAGGCCATTCCAGATTGGGAGGTGGAAAGTTGAACAAGCCAGGCGTGAAGTTACCAGGCTTTTCTAGGGCAGCCACAAGATGAGCCTGCCAGAATCTTAAAGGTTTATGTAGTGAGGCCTTAACTAGGTTCAGACATGTATATTGTCCAGATAGTTTCAACACCGCTCCCTTGTCTTAAGATGTGGTCTTGGCAGCTTCTGGGAGTGGGGAAGGCAACTGGAAGGCACACCCCAAGGAAAGTGGAAGTGGGGGAGCCCTTGATTGCTGGGGTCCAGCTTACAGGTCACCTGGCAGCCACATCCCCTCCATGATCCCCTCCACCACCTACATAGAAAATCCAAGGGAATCTATAGACAAACCCTTAGAGTGAGGGAGAACATTCCACAAAGCTGTTGATACAAATCAAAACATGAAAGTATAAAAACCACCTATGGTCCAGCCACAAAAATTTAGAAAAACATTTAAATATTTAAAACATTGGAAAACACTTCTATTACAGCAGCAGCAAATAGTCTCCAGTATCTGGGAATACATTCGATAAAAACTTGCAAGACCTTTAAGGAGAGAATTACAAAACTTTACTGAAAGACTTCAGACCTAAATAAATGGAGAATAAAAGCTCGCTGTTGTAAACATGGCAATTCTCTCATAAATTAATCTGCAAATTCAATGACATTTCAATCAAAATACCCATTAGACTGTGCAAGGAACTCAATTAGCCGACCTTAAAAGTCACAGGGAAGACCAAAGGGTCTAAACTAGTCTAAACCGAGCGATGGCCAGATAGTGAATGTTTTAGGCTCTGCAGGTTACACAAGGGTCTCTGTTGTGTATTGTTCTTCGGTTTTCCTTCCTTGTTCGAAACTCTTACAACAGTTCTTAGCTCATGAGCTGTAGTTTGCCTATTTCAAAAAAAGAACAATATTTAGGGAAGGTGGCTGGTAGGACTTTACCTATCAGATATCAAGATTTCTTATACAGCAACTAAAGAGTTTGTTGATACTGACTTAGGCATACAGCACAAAGAGAATAAAAAAAAAAGAGCCCACAAATAGATCAATGTGTATGTACAACTATACATAATATATGACAGAAGTGGCACCACAATCACTCAGGGAAGAATGAACTCTCCAATATGTGGTAGAAGGACAATTCCTTATCCATATGGAAAAGAAGAGTCCCCATCTCTCACACTAAACAAAAATAAATTGTAAGTGGATGTAGAGATGAGGTAAAAAGTAAGCCTTGAAAATTCTATTGAGGGAATATAAGACAGTATCTTTATTATGCACAGAGAGGAAAAAAGGATAGTTTTCATGACAGTATATCTAAAAATGATTTGTTTAATACAAGAATTCATAAGGAAAGTTTAGAGACAAACCAGACTGGGAGAAGATATTTTCAAGACACAAAACCATCAAAGAAAAATCCACGAGAGAAAGAGAGAGACATCAGAGAGAAAGTTGCCAAAGCAAATGAACAGTCAAATTACAGAAGCAGAAATCCAAATAGCCTATAAACTTATGAAAAGATGTACAACGTCAGCAGTAATCAGGGAAATGAATATTTAAGCAACCATAGAATATAATCTCACATGCATCAGTTTGGACAACATTTTAATCTAACAATAAGAAGTCCTGAGATCCATGTGGATAAATGGGAAGATTCATACACTGCTAGTGGAAGGAAAAAAATAAAAAAACGCCTATTATTCTAGTTCCCAATGAAAGGGCCATTCTAGTTTTCTCTTGGGACACACAGGCAGAAGGAAACGCAGAAGTATTCTATAGATGTCCTTGTTCCTGTACCCTTGTTCCTTCCCTTTTCTTGTGTTCCCACCCCTGGGTACAAAAGTACTGATTCTCTCCCCTCATCTGCCCTCCTCCAGGTCTGACTACCTTGCCATCCCATCAGAGAACAAAGAGAATTCTGCGGTACCAGTGGAGGAATAGAAGGGTGTGACTGAGGTGATGTAAAGGAAGGGCAGGCAAAAGTGGAAAAGGATGGCAGCTTGTACAAGGAACTTGGTCACCCACACCCAAGTTGACTAAATTTGACCCCGTAGATTTCTACCCTACCCAGAGTCCCCACCTTCAGGGTACTTCTTAAAGTCAACACCCAGGTCACAAAGCTCTGTGTGACGTTAAGCCCTTCAGAGAGTGAATTGCTTTTGCCTGAGCAATTTGAACTTCTTACCCACAGTGACAAAGTAGTTCCCCGACTCCCTCCTTTGTAAGGATTGTAGATTTGGTGAGTCTTTGGCTGGCCTGGACTGGGCCAGGCTGGAAATTCTCAGTGAGTTGTTTTTATCATTGGTAGGTGGGCTAAACACTGAGGGACTGGATATTCCAGGTTCAGTGATATTAACAGTGTCAGGAGGGTGCCCCCAGGGGCCAGATCACTTCCCTTCATGCATCCATCCTTCTATTCATTCATCATATATCCGCTCACCTCTGAATTTTCACCTCTGACTTCCTACCTCCATCAGACCTCTACATACCATAAAACTTGGCCAGAACTGAGGAGTCAACATTTCTACACAGACTCAACCTCACCCTATTCTAGGTTTCAAGCAAGGAGCTCCCATGCCAACTGGACTTCCTGTGCTCCAAATAACCTTGTACAAATGCTGGAGATGGCACACTTCTCTGCCCCTAACTGGTTGGAATTGGCTTATTCTTCATTGCTTCAAGTGAATGTCATTGCTTCAAATGATGTCTTAATGGAAGGAAGCAGAAATGATTAATTTGGTTAAAGCAGGAGCATCATGAAGTGGGATTCCTTGAAGTCAGTTTTTGTTTTTATTTTCAAGTTCCTGGCCCACTTGACTAGAGCATCAGAGCAAAGCATGCCTTCCTAAGATCTTCAGTGACAGAAAGTTTACTAAGCATGGACCAAGATGGTTTCTGGAACTTGGTACTCTGGGGCTAGATCCTGATAGGTCTCTAAGGACTAGGTTGAACTCAGCCCTTCAAGAAGCCAAAGACAGAAGTGGCCCCTAAAAGTCATCCAACGTGTTCATCACCCTATCAGGGTAATGTATGTGTGCCCTCCAAGTGGAGCACACCACCTGAGATTGCTGGGAAGCATTATATTCTTGTGGGCATTGGAACTGAAATTTCTAAATTCTTCCTCTCAAAATTCCTGTAGATCAGTATTATCCCTCCTTTTACAGGAGGCAACTGAGACTCACACAGGGCTCAACTAAGAGATTTCAGAGGATAAACTGAAACATAGTAAGCCTTAGGTGATGCCCACTTGACACTTTCAGAGATGGGATGATTTTGGTTTTAAAAAGACCTTGAAATTGAGTTTGGCTACAGCCATGCCTCTTTCACAAGCACAGGGGTGAATTGCCTGGCTGAGGTTAACTCTGATAGATCCAGTTACCTGGAAACTAGCCAAGAGGCAGAGATCAAGACATGGGGTAGACTTGAAGAATTTCTTTAATGAAAAGATTTGTGACTACGAAAAATCCTCCAGACGGAGATTACATCTGGGAATATTTAAACTAAGAAACATGCTCTTTTGTCTAAGAAGGATGATGAGAGAATGAGTGAAGTGATAGGGGCAGGATAGGCTAGGTGGCTTCCAAATATTTCACCTGTGAATCTATGATGTCTAGTTGTTGAGGGTTTTTTTCTTTCTTGATTTTGGGAGAGCAGAGGAACACTGGAAAACTTTCAATCAATATCTCATTTCATTTTAATTGAGTGGTCCAAATGTGATGTTCTTCAGCTAGTGAGAGAGGGGAAGGCTGCTCCATGGGCTATGAGAACATACAAGTGGCTGGGACTCAATGATGGGTGTCCCTCAGATTTAGGGGAATTTATGGGGAAAGATAACACTCCACTGTCTTTGGGCCTCACCCAATGAACTCGTTTTTGTTTTTACAATTCTTCCATCTTTGGGGAAGTATTTGACACAAGTCCTTGTTCACACGTTCGAGTGTCTAATTTTATTGAATACTCTCAGTAAATTTAAGGCCTTTCTCATTGGTAACTGCACATGATTCCTGTGAAATCGGGGACAGAATGTAAATCATTTTTTTGTACTTTATGACAATAGGCACGGATTATTGTGCGGTTCTGCCGATCTCATGACTGGTGGATGGCCGAGCTTACAGTAGGAGCGAGCTACTTCCTATCACTCTACCCTCCTCTTGCTTCTAGTAGATAAGGCATCTAAGCATCTAACTCGTAATAATGTAGTATGCATGATGGCTGCCTTTTTTTTTTAAAAAAAAAAACTCCTCCCCAGATATTTCCTGAGTGGTTTTTAATGAGCTGAATGGCACCTATCATTTCCCCCCCTTATTTATGTTTTACAGGTAATCTTCTCTTTTCTCCCCCCTAATTCCTCAACCCTTCTCATTCTCAATTCTGTCATTAGACCAATATGGTTTACAAAGTGCTTTCGTTTCTGTTACCTCAGTTCTCTACAACTAACCCTGTGAGGTGGGTATTACTGATATCTCTGTCACAAATGAGCACACTGAGGCTAAGAAGCTTACCACATGCTAAGGTCACACAGCTGGGAGGTGGAGAGCTCAGTTCCCTTTTCCACTTAGACCGCATCCTTTCCTCTCATTGTTGAGCTTTCTGTCTCATCTTTGCCTCTCCTGCTTGTGCTGAGGTGTTCCACATCTTCTCTTACTCTTAGTGCCACTCGACAGCTCCTCTACCACTTTGCTTCTTAGCAGGTGCTCCAAATGTGCTTTGAGAGTCTATCTCGTTTTGGCTTTTCCTTTCTAGTTGGTTTGCACAATACTTTTTCTCCCAAATTATAATTCAACTCCTTCTTGGGAGACTTGATCAGGACTACAGAACTAAGGATAGTGTGATTCCCAACCTGCTTCAAATCCTCTCCACTCCTCATTTCTCTCCATATTCCTAGAGGACCCAGACCAAATGTGTGTTGCTCTGGAAACTGCATCTGGCATGCTGTTCCTATTAAAGGGCTTAGAAATGTTCTCAAGGGCTATTATCACCTTAGGAATCCCACCTGTTGTCTTGGTGCTGGATATTTTCCATGATCGATTTTCAATTACACAATTCACTAAAGGCTAAGCCAGGCTTGGGTCAGATTTTCCTTTTCCTACTGCTTAACAGCCAAGAACTTGACTCTGCTCAACAGTTGGCACTGTATACACTCTGCCCTACTGACCTTTACTGCTAGCTCAATCTTGTATCCTAGCCCTAACTCCTGTGTGGAAATACTGTGACAGACAGTGCCTGTCCCTACCCCAACCTTTACTTTCAGTCTGTTTAAAAGCATTTTCCCTTCTTTTCTCCATCCCTCAACATCCACATACCCAGATTTCTTATTATCTTGAGTTTCTGGTTTCTCCTTCAATGCTCAACTAGATATGTTAGTATGAAAGGAATTTTTCAAAGCAGGAATATGCTGGAGACATGTGTACAGCAATAAATGGTTAAGACAAGAGACAGTAGCTCCCTCCTCTCCCCGGGAAAGATCAAAAAGGAAAGTACACCCAACTCAATCTGTGAATCTATCGGACATCAATCAGAGGGGAAGGGCTGTGTAACTGGCATCTTTGCAGGAAAATGCAAAGGCTAGACACATTTCAGAATAGATCTTCATTCTCCTTTCCTAAGTTAACAAATAGAAAAATATAGAAGAAAAAAAAAGCGTTTCTCTCCACTCCTTTTGTAAATGAAAGATCCCTGAGCCAGTGAATTCACCTAGTCACTGTGAGTGTATCTGAGTAGTACTGTGTTCATCCTCTGATCATCCATCCATTCTGCATTTCAGCACCCACTCTGCCTGGAGCACCAATCTAGAGCCTCGGTGTGCCCTGTGGTCTTAGGTCTGAAAAATACCATCATCCAAGCTTTTCCTAATCTCTGAAACTCCACCATGGTAGATAACTCATGTTGAGTTATCTTACTTGAGTTTATAGTAGGACCCAGTAGATAAGCACTTGCAGCAAGTCTGAGTTGTAGTAGATCAGACTCAACCCCTATCATAGGCCAGATAAGCCTCAACGACAGGAATATGTTCCCCCCTACCCAACCCTGAGTCACCATCAGGCAAGGGCTGAATCTGATGGCAATGTGTGTGATGGGGAGGGAGGCACGGAAGCGCCGTGCTAGTAGGTTTGGGAAACACCATCAGACACCATAAGCAAACTCCTGCGGTCTTGCAACTGATAGATGTCTTTACCACATTGTCACCTTCATGTTGCTTTTTCTTCATTTTCCACAGCCAATTTTTTTCTGAACTCTAGCAATGTTGTTCCTGATCACCCAAGCTCTCGACAACCTAATGGCAGTATGTAGTGTTTTTCAGGAAATACCCTGTTCATGTCAATAAAGTGTCTCTACACACAGCTTGCTCTGGTTTTGCTCTACTATGTGTGTCTGCCATGTAGACTATGGCTTCTACCTCCCTCCCCAGCCTGCATCAATTCCTGAACTCACCATCAGTGGATATTTCCCTGGTAATGAAAAATGCATTTAATAGTCTGAATTAAACATACCATAAATGTGTGATCTAGCTGCTCTTCCCCTCTTTCCCACCGCTCCCCTCCCAAGTAAAAGAGTCAACAGTCCCCCCCTGCCTGACACCAAGTAAGTTTCCCACCAGGTGGTGAGGGGCTAACTTCAAGGAAGACCTGATGAGGGGAAGGGTGAGACTCCCTTATCTGTCTAGGTTAACAAGGAATTAAAGCAAATCTGTCTCTCTATGTCCACCTTCCTGGAACTGCCAAGGCACAAAAGTTACTTAAGAAATTGTTGTTGGGATTCCCAGTCTATCATCATATGCTCCTATAATAATAGTACTGGTTAATAATGGAATAAAAATTATCTTAGTATAGTACCAGGCATTATACTAAGGTGTATGCGCGCGCACACACACGCACGCGCACACACACACACACACACACAATTTGTATTATCTCCAAACAATTGAGGCTTGGAATAATGGTTGGGGACCAAGGCCACATGACTGCTAAATAGTGATGCTGAAATCTCTACTCAGGTCTGATTCCAAACCTCTTCCATTCAACTTTATCAGGCTGCCTCCCTCCCCAGGAAGGGTGTCCTAGACGTTGGGCGGATGGGCGGATGGCTGTGCAAATGTGTCTGAGCATGCCTACACACACACACACACACACACACACACACACACACACACAC